TTTTTCTCTATTTTTTTTTCTATTGTCTTCTCTTTATCCCATTACACCAAATTCCAAGCCTAAGCGCTGAGTTTCGTTAGGTTTTTCAATGAAAACTCATTTTGTTGTTCACTTTAATTGCAGTTCATAATTTATACATTCTGTTTACACTTCAGTCACGGTTGGTTTTAATTAAAATTTCATTAAATTTGCATGTGTCGCTGGTATTCCAGGCGGAGTACAAATGCTAATATTCCGAATGCATATTGAATTCCTAATTTGTCATGCGAACAGCTGTGGTCATCATTTACATACAGTTACGAATACGTTCAAATAACAAAAACCGCAGCAACAACAGCAGCAGCAACAACAACAGCAATAGCATTCGCTACAACAATGACTTTAATTGTTGTACATTGTGCGGACGAGTGTGAAGAATTTATAGGAAATTTGCATTATCTGCAAGAAAAAACTTATCGATAAATATGGTATTTTGAGAGAGTGCGAGAAATGCGCACAGCACAAAGGACACAGCAGACAAAAAATTAAAAAAAAAAAAAAAACAAAAAGAAAAATTCAAATTAAAATGAAAACAAATGTGAAAATTTATAGAAAGAAATTAGAAAATTAAAAACAAAAAATGTATCGATAACATGACAAACTGTACCATACRGTCAATTTATATCGATAATTTCCATCATCAGCACAATAATTCATCGAAGTAAAAGTCCTGGTGGTGTGCTATCCCCTTTATTATGGACTGTAGTCGTGAATGACCCACTCGCACTGCTGACTAAMAATGGGAACGGCTACCAAGGATATATGCGTATGACATTGATATATTAGCTAGAGAAAAATTCGAAGACACTTTCTGCGATATCGTGCAATGGGTGTTGGGTCAGTCAAAGGGATGAAGCAGTGTAGTTGGATCGAGCATCATCTCCTCGAAAATGATCATCGTCCGTTGCACTAGATTAAGGTCTCTACTAGGCCTCAGTCACTTATCCCTAAGCGGCAAAGAGACAGAGATAACTAATGTGGTTAAATATCTCGGCCTCACACTGAGTTTCACTTCTAGGTGGTAGACCTGACCACAGTCAAGGCTACAGTAGCACTTATGGTGTGCAATCGACTTGAAAATCTACAGCTGGAAGCCAAAGATTATCAGCTGGCTGTGCACGGTGATCGTGAGACCATTGATTAAGGTCCCTGCCCGGCCTCAAATCAAACATTATCAGGTGTATGTATACCGTGATCGTGAGACCGAAGTTATGGAATGATTCCACTCTCGATCTTCTACTAACGAATAGCACAATCATTGGTAAAAAGATGACTCAAAAATATCAGAGTATATTGATGCAGACTACCTATAAAACTCTCTATACCTAGTTTCCGAGCTTCTTCAAAGAAGAAGCCGTAGACATAAGTCGGCGTGCATAACCCACAACGCTACATTCAGCGATAGTCAAGCATCATTTAAAACAATATCTTCTCTTATGAGATTAAATTGGAACTGATGCAGTAATCCACAGAACGGCTTAACAACCTATSAAGYCGTAAGYAAGTGCACCTTATCTGGGTGCCAGGTCACAAGGRTATAGCCGAGAATGRACTGGCTGACAAGCATGMTCGAAACTTCCACTATAATGATGRAACCTGAACACGGTTGGTCTTCTTACTATAAAAGAGCTGCT